CCGAATCAGTTCAAGCTGTAGTGAGCTTATAATATAGAAACTGTACAAATATGACCAATCAAAATCCCATTTTGTTAAAAATGGTTCACAGTAAATGGAAATAGTAGCTATCTCTATCCGTTCATTATCAACGAGAATAGCTATCTATATGTACCCACGTACATATCCGTTCTAATATCCGGCAGTTTCAACGCGAAGAGATGTTAATGAATGGCTCATTACTCTTATTGTCTTCCTGTAATGAATTTTACTATTCAAATCATCATTTTTAACGTGAATGGATGTTAATAAAACTTGGTAAAATTAAATTTCTGAATAGCAACTGTAATATATTTTGTAACGCAGACTTATATAAGAGAATTACCAGAATCTGTAAAATAACCATCATGGATTAGTATAGTACATGAGGACAAGGCCGAGTCACGTCTGAAGTATTATTATAAAATAATGTTCTAGAACTATAATATTGTAAGAATATAATCCGTGAGCAAAGCGACGGGAGTTTGTAATATTATAACAACGTAGTCCGTCAGCAAAGCGATGCAAGGCCAAGTCACGTTTGAAGTATTATTGTAAAATAATATTCTAGAAGTATAATATTATAAGAACATAATCCGTCAGCAAGGCGACGGGAATTTGTAATATTACTCGTATAACAACATAATCCGTCAGCATAGCGATGGGAGTTTGTACTAGTATTACACAGTTTTTCATCATCATACGTCACTTTCTTAGATTAAATTGCCACCTCAAATAAATATCGATTCCATCATCCAAGTAATTTTAGAATCTTATTGAAAAGTTCGTTCCATTTCAAAGGTTAATTACGCTCGACGCTCGATGAAAGTCGATAAGCGAAACAGACAGTTCGCTTTTCAAATAATAAATCAAATTATAAATCCCCAACCCTCTCTTCCTTTCTCCATTAGAAACTCCCAGTTTTTATACCCACAACAGCAGATTGTACAACTTAGGATATCTATAAAAGCCATAGTATGCCTTCCTAACACTTGAAACTTGAAAGTTCTAATCATAACGGTTCTTCCTTATGCTCCTAACATAGCTATACAAACAGTAGTCATGCAGTCATGTAGATAATATATTCTGTGTCGTAGATAATGTAGTAATCAGTTGTTGACTCTTATCATAAAGAGATTTATTTATAAATGTATTTATTGATTTGAATCAGTTGATTTTATGAGGAAATAGTGAGTAGTGAGTCTACTAAATAAAGCTATTTCGTAGATTATAGTACAGTGTAGCTACTGATTGTGAGCCTTGCAAAAGTGTAGTAGTTCTTAGGTGTTATAGTACTGTATTCTTAATAAATCTTATAATAGATTACGGTAATCATCTAAAGAAGCAACGTATAGTAAGTGCTTTACATTAGACTAGCAAATTTGTCAGGAAGTAGTATGTAACAGAATCATCAATCAATCAATCTGATCAAATCATATTAATCAATGCAATAATATATGTGTTCTGATTTGCGAGATAAATAGAACAAAATATGATAGTGGATATGTTGCAATGAAGTCAATTATGTTGGTTATAAAACTAGTAAAGTAACGATAATATCAGTGCAACATCACGTGGAAGCAATGAAGAAAACGTAGGAGCCGAAGAAGAATGTTTAATCTGCAAAAACTTTATTAAGCACGCGATTGTTTTAGGCAAGGTCTATTAGAAAGAAGAATAAGGTTTTTTCTAGGTGATATAAATTACCGTAGTGCTTTACTATATAATACTAGTATACTTTCAACGCACATTACCCTTGTAATGAAATAAAATCTCTACAATCCGTTATTAGCTAACCTCGTAATGGCTTAGTCGGTTTTTAATTGATATATCTGTAAAGCTTTCACGAATAATTACGCGTTTATTATTTATAATCAAATAATTTGAAAATTGATAACTGCATGGTTGGGATTTCACTTTATTCCCTGTAGTTGTCATCTAAATTAACATTGTCGATCACATTAATTATTGATGTTGAACTATAATGATTACGTATCAAGGTAGCATTACCTTTAAACTTCAATAGCTTCCCTATTAGTAACAATAAATATTAAAAGCGAAAGTTTCTTTCATACTTATCATCGAGCTAATTTTATATTATGACCGCTACACAATGCAATGCGTAATTTCCGACAGTAATACTGTAAATCATGAAATAGTATTCCATTTTGATTGCATAAATAAAGTGCCAGAATAGGCCTAGGTACCGATGCTTGAACAATATTAGGATATTATACAACGTGGCTCTGTAAGTATAATCTTTCACAAGTAAAGCGTGAGATAACGGAAATCTTAGTGTGTATTTGCCTAAGGTTTTAGCTGGCATATCATTTATATCCTAAATACTAAATTTAAATCCCTTCAATTACTTTGTCATTATAGATTTCCAAGCTGGATTTTTACTTATCAAACACCGTACTAATGGTTTAATTTGAATTAACTTAGCCTAGCAAAAGTTTACGATTCTGAAGGCAAAATATCAATAAAATAACTCACAAGACGTATGGAAGTAGCATAGTTCGGTAGTTTAGTAGAGAATATAAGCATGTGTGCTTGAAAGAGAAAGAGAGAAATCGGTTGAATGGAGAAAAACTCAGAAAGCTATCTCCAACCTTCGATATCTAAATATAAGCTCTAAATTTTTCTATTTCACAAAAATTTCTTAGACTTTGACAATACATTTTTACTTTATTCTATTAAATACTTATAGTTGAACAGATTTATATTTTAGCTATATCATTTCACTTCTCTCATTCATCATTATTCCGAAAGATTGTTTATTGTTTATTTCAAGAAATATAACCGTTACGCATTCCGTCAGTAAAAAAGAATTAAATCTAACTGGACAATATAGTGATATCCATTGCATTCTAACATTTTAACCAGGACTGTAATTAGTGAGTGCATCTTTAAGGTGCTCTTAAACTATCGTCTCATAACCTGGCTTATGGCGTGCCTCTGGTTCTTAATTCTCATAATATTATCTAGTTTGGGCTAATATGTATTGAAATTTCTTCTATTAAGAATAAAACAAAGAACATCTTAAGTCTAGTAAAATTATGTTATGTTAAGCTATTGCAGTGCTACATAGTACACTGTATTAACTAGGTTAAAGTAGAAATATCTATGTTAGGATAATTTTATTAGCTTACCCTTATTTAGTGATTTTCCAATTTAAATATAGTTCAATCACTGTTATTGTAACTTGCTTATGGTAGATTATAGATTATCGTGGAAATGTTCCATGATGGAGGGCATATTTTAATCTGATTATTTTGTATTAGTCATTAGATATCTATGTTCGCAAATAGCGTTGTCTTCATTAGACGACAGTAGGTAAAATTAGCTTCTGATTTATTGGAAGGCTAGAAATATAATATTACTAACCTGGATGCCTGAGCTATATCAGAAGAGTATAGAAATAGGATACATCTTATAATAAAGTTATTTCTTAAGATTAGTGATAACGTAAAATCCGAGGCGGCTAAAGTCTTTTGTAGTCTACTAGTAGAGGAGATAGTATTCCTGATAGAGTAGATATTGCTCCCTGAACGTAGTTCAGAAAACCGACATATGAATCGTAGGTTACCTTATCTCGTTGCAAAGCTGTTTTGTAACACTGGTGTATTGTATTGCTACTTTTTAATTTGCATCCTACTATAATACTACTGTTACTTCAAAGTTCATATTGAGTTTATTATGCATATCACTAAATTGATTTTGTAAGGTTTTTACGGTATTATGGTATTTCTCGAAGCCACTCTATGCAAATAAATCTAATTTAAACCAACTTTTTATCGAACTAGAAGTATAGAAATCATTCTCGACAAAATAAATATCTCCTGCTTTAGAATCGAGAAATAGCCTTAAATAAAGTAATGTTTTGTTCATTCATATGCAATTGGAGATGTTAAAGGCACAATAGCCTTTGGTATTTAAACTACAGTTCAAGAAAAAAAGTTAATTGAAGTAGAGTATAATTGCAAATGTTTTCATCACGATTACCAGTGAAAATTTAAACTAATATTTTATTTCATTGGAAAAATTTTTTCAATTATACAACTAATATTAACCCAGATTATATTGTGTATTGCACTTTAACAAGTGCTAGTATCAAGCCAATATTCAAATTAAAGCTAAATAATGCTAGTTAATCAAGTAGGGTATAAAAAATAAAAATCTTGATAAAATACTAGCCAAAATTGATAAATACTAGTCAATAGTTACAAGTAAATACAATGAACCAAATAAAGACTAGTAATTTACTCGAAAACTAGCAGTAGAAGACATATTGAATCTAATACTTTGAAAAATGGAGATATTAGATTAGTCGTCTAGTTTACATTCATGATGTAGTTTAGTCGCAGTTTGCAGTACAATATTTGCTCATCTTATCCATACTGAAATGGATTTTTCGATACAAAGAAAAACTAAAAGACAAATTTTTGTAAAATTTTCCCCCAATGGTAACAAGATAATCCGTCAATCATGAATTTAGGTATATATATATATATTCCAATGCTAAAATTTTGAATAAATCTAAATCGGCCATTGAATTGTTGCAAAGTAGAACGGCTACTCTACGAATAATTCTACATAAACGATATACAGCAGATCCATGCTAACTTTAATCATGTCGATCGTCTTCAAGTTGATGCTTTCTTTATCCTAATACAATGATGTATTCTCGCATTTGGCATCGTGAGCATCTATCGAGTCGTTACAGCTTAAAGTAATCGACTATCAACTTATCAGTGTCTTACAAAATACAAATTATGTGTAGCAATATTTTGTATTTTAAAGCATACAGTAAAAAGTATTGATATTCAGCATAAGGAACTACATTCTAATAAAACAATTGGAATCGTTTAACAGTATATCCCCATGAGAAGCAACAAATGGATAGACACTAAGAGAAAAATATTCATGAATAGTTGTGTGTGTGATATGTGGTCGAGAAAATACATCCATTCTTTATATATTTATAACATTAATTCTTTACTGGCATCGTCGTCGACCGTTCCTTGCGGACGGAAATGCCGTGGTAACGAAGCTGAACCATAATCCTGATTTTCGTAGGCTGGGTTAAAATGCGCTGCTTCAATATCCTCATATTCCTAATAAAGATACATAATCGACAGGATGATATTAATACAAGAATATACAGTATATTAAGTTAAATAAGGTCTACACGAACGATTAGCTTGACATCATATTCGGTCATATCGCCTGTGAAAAAAATATTTTCACGAGCTGGCTATTGTACATGATTTATTTCAACATTGATTACTAAAAGAATGGAAACCTGCTATGCACATCGTTCGTAGCTCTATACAAATAAATAATGTAAGAGAAACTCCTTTAAACTAGATTAGTCGGTAGTATGTAGCTGTTGTCGAAATTTGAAAACTTAGTCGTGATTGAAATGAAATTGGTAGATTTTATATACAGTATTGAGTAAATACCGCAAAGTGTCTTGTACTTTCTACTAAAATGGCCAATACAATATTTATTCCTGAGAATAGGCTACTATAAACTGTTTAATCCATGAATTAACGTTACAAGCCGCTATTTAACAATACTTTTTGAAGCTCAATATACTGTACAGTTAACTTTTAACAACAGAAACAAGGAGACTTTCAATATCTCACATCAAACTCAGTTGGAACTAAATATTTTGTCCTATTCTAGTGTGCTTATGTTCTGCAAATCAAGCTATTGGCTATCAAGATCAATATCAGACGTAATTTATCAAACCATAATTTGTACTCATTAGATGATCATGCACCGAATAATTCAGTGCTATAAATGTGTATGCACGCTTGGATCTCAGAAAAGACAAACTAGTACTGTATTGATGTCGTTGCACAAACCGATTGTTGCCTTTTAGTGGAGTTTCTTTGATTTTGACGAGGTTGCACAATTTCTGGTGCCTGCTCTACAGGCAGTTGGGCTGGCTCTTTATGCACTGTACCATAGATATTGCTATCGGTAGATTGGCGAGGATTATATGGTGCTTGATTGTTCGGATTGCGAGGATAAGTAGAATATGGATCGTTGCCCGATGATGGAGGCAATCGATTTAAATCATCAAAAGTACGAGGAATTTTTTTCTTCTTTTCGACTTGAGCATAAGTTGGATCGGTTGTACTTGCATAGCCTTCATAGGTATGGCTAGCATAAACTGAATTGCTATCGCTATAGTGCTTATCATTTTCATGGACTAAATTTTGTGTACTACTATAGTCGACGGCATCGGTTGGGTTAGATCTATGCCTTTCTAATGTTGTGCGGTAAGGATCAGTAGGTGGTTCGGTAGAAACATTGTCTTTTACCGTATTATAAATTGGCAAATATAACTGACTGTGAGAATTTGCATCTCGACCTGGTGCATCACCATTCATATCTGCTTCATCTATAATGTAAAGGGTAACAATACATCATAAACATATTATGTTCAGTGAATACTATATTCATTTTTAGTAAATAAGCAGTGGCCATAATTGAAACATTTATTTTTATTGTTTTTCTCTGTACTTACTGTAATGGGCACCAGGATATTGTTTTTGAGTATGGCGTAAACTATCTGTTGTTGACATGCTATATTCTTCACGATGTGAATCATCATGGATAGCATTTGCATAAGACTTGGTTCGATCACGTAAAGACGACGAATTACCAACTTAACATTTCAAAGAGACATAAAATTGATTAGATTTCTTCTCAGTAATTGGATATTGTTGTCAAATTAATTACTGTTTTCTTTTATGGTTGAAAAATGAGACAGCATAAATATGATTCTGTCTACCTAATTTAGAGATATGTATTCTTAAAATAACTACTGATGCAGATAAAATAACATCCTTATATTGTTTACTTTATCTCTACTAATACCAAAGTATATATTTAGGCGAGTTTGGAAAACACTTGTATTATGATTTTTCTTTTTATTTATTCCATGCACGGTGTTCTATTACAGTCCTTTTCAATCAGATCACTTCCATATCATGATACATTCATTATTTATTATTAGTAATAATACTAAATATAATCTTTAATATAGGGTTACGATAACATCAGTGCTATAACGGGATATATTTTCTGATAAATTAAGTCTTAAATAGTCAAGGTTAAATGATCATTATTGTGTCACCATTTAGACATTATAGCCAATGATAACCCTTAATCGCCTAGAGTGATGCTCGAGTACAGTATATGCTGTATGCTTAATTTTTTAAGTTAGTTCGTTACACAAACTTAAATTAGAGTAAAGAAACATAGTGATACTGTACTTTAGAGAACATTTACAGCCAACAAAATGCATCACGGAATAGCTGGGATTATAACAGCGGTTATATATGATTGATTTAATTTTTTAGATTATATGTGATAGGCAATTAATGCCAAAGATTCAATCTGTAATGATATTTTAAAGTTTGCAAAGATTCTCTCTCAACGTCGTTATAATATAATTAAAATAATACAGCTTATTGGCTTAGAAGCTAAGTTCAGTAGATTATATCTTGAGAACGGTGTTATTTTATTAGAATTATCCACCCACATGTTACGCAAACTGAATGTTAGACAAGTATTTCGATGCAAATAAAGAAAAGCAACTAAAGAATCGTTCACGAGATGTAAAATATTCATGTTTCTAATTTATAGAATGAATAGTGTATAATATTTAGAGATCGAAATCACATTCTGTTATATGACTTCCATAACATTCAAATTCGTTGTAACGTATAATGTGTTGCAAATGGTATATTTAAACGTAAATATCGCTTGTTTCCTGGCTTTGATCTAAGTAACTGTCGGACTGGCAGCTAGGCTCTAGGTTATATTTCATTCGAGAATCGTTTACTGTGAAAGTTGCTGGATTACGTGTAAAATTTAAGCATGGAAATGTTAGTGAACAAGAAATGATAACCTAGAGGCAATGGTTTGATACGAGGAGTAACTTCATAGATTCTACTTTGTTACTGGACTGCATTTAGGGGTAAGCTTGCTACTGTAAAGTAATAAGCCAAAAACTTGGGTGATCTTAGATTTATATTTTGAAATTAGTGTTATATAATTCTGTTTAGCTAAGTGCTCTGTATGAAAATAGATTTCATTGCAAGCCCTATATGAGATTAATATAATGTACTTTTAAGTTGTGGAATAATACTGTTCTTTGAAATATCAAATTTTACATGTGTGACAATGGTTATTTTTTACCAAGTTTTTGTTATATTTCGTCAGTAATCTTTAATTTAATTTAATTTAGTCTAATTATAGCAGAAAATTTACGAAAGCAATCGCACATGCGAGAATATTTACCGATTTTGGGATCTTCTTGTTCTTTCCTCCGACACAAACAACAAGCCCCAAGGATAATAAGGATAAGAAAAATGCCGCCGCCAATGCCAGCTGAAAGTCCAATGATTAATGGCAAATCTAGAATAATAATTAAGTTATATAACAATAATTACAATTTACAACAACACAAATCTTCTTAGTTATCATCAATCACAGTCATCATTTTTCATAGGAGAATTTTTAAATCAAACTTCTTACCAACGGGTGCTGGTGTAACAATTGCTCCTGTAATAATAGCAAATAGGATTTGATCTTAATTTTATACTAAAAATGACGAACATCAAGGAGGTGCTCATTTTTAAATATTAGACAGACTTGACTCCAATTAATCAAATTACCTTGCAAAGTGGCAAATTGTATAGAGGATGATGATGGGCTTTGACCCAAAGAGTTGAGTCCACGAATAAATGCGGTGTAGTTGGTACTTGAATTTAAACCAGTTAACGTAAAAGTCGTTTGACCAAAAGAGGTATTACCTCCAAAACTGAAAAAAGTATCTACTGATCGTCTATAAAATAATTGAAAGATTTGAGCCAGGTTGCCGTCATGACCTGATGTCCAGGAAAATGTTGCTGTATCGGAAGTTGTTTCTGTCACTAGGAAGTTTGATGGTGCTTCAGGAACAGCTATAAGCCACAATTTAATAAAAAATTAATATTTCCAATCTAAACAGCTCTCTATCAGATCATAATTGCGTATTAGTTCTAATTCATTACATCTATCCACGACAGTAATGGTAATAGCATAAGAATCACTTCCAAGTTGGTTTGAGGCATTGCACTGTAAGGTACCATCTATTGCTGTAGTAGGGTTACTAATCGATAGCACACTAGTTGTACGTGTAAGGGTATTGGTGTTAGAAATGGAATAAATATTGCTAGTGCTACCAGAGCCAGTAACTATTGCCACGCCATTTATTGTCCATGTAATTGTAGGAGCTGGTCCGCCGTCCATCACACAAGTTACGGTGGCTTTTTTGCCAGTTACAAAGCTGCGTAAACTAGCAGAACTATTTGCAGTAACAACCACCGGAATTTCTATTGCAAATATATATTTTTCATAATTAATAATATGTTCTTCAATATTTAATGTCAATTTTTTATACATTCGATGCATATTTTCTGCATAATTTTTACAGGGGAGAAATTGTTTTAAAATTAATTTTTGCGTCACTACTTACCTAATACAGTTAGCTTCACTACAAGATTAGTTAAACCAACAGTATTACTGATTACGCACGTATAATTTCCTGTAGCTGATAACTGAACGTTTGGGATTGTCAAATTTCCAGTAGTTTGATCGTAGATAGTATTGCTAGGTGGATTTGAATCCAGTGGATAGCTTTTCGCCCAGAAATATTTTAAACTTGTCGGATTGCCAACGGCTAAGCAATTCATGATAGTATCTGAGCCTGAGGTAATCTCATAAGCTCTTGCTTGGTTACTACTAATGATAGGTTTATCTAAGAGAGAATTTTTACAACGTTATATATTATTTTTACATTTTGTCCTTACTATTGATACGAAACGATACATTCAAAGAGGTACTTACATTGAATATTTAAGACTGTTGTAGTATATTTAGTACCCGCAGGATTAATAGCTCTACAAGTATACATCGCTTTATCATATGTGCTGTTGACAGTAAAGCTATACGAAGCTGACGAGTTGTCTGAGCTAATAGTTTCATTCATCGGGCTTAGTAATGTTAAAACAGGTGTAGGTAAAGCTGTTGCAGAACATGTCAAGGTGACAGTAGTACCTTCGTTAGCCGTTACCGTAGCTTTTGTATTGGTAAAGATTGGTATAGCTATAAGTAGATAAAAATGAATGCATTCTCACTTATTCCTATCATTACTTTGATCATAATAACTCTTATTTGCTGATTGAAAAACTACAGTTCCAATACGGAATTGTAGCAAAAGGTAATAAACGAAACTTCAAGATATTTTTAATGTTTATGCTATTTAGTTGAATAAAAATTACAAGCTGTTCAAACTTACTTTGTACGTCAAGTTGAACTGAAGAGCTTAGCGTTCCATACGCGTTGGTTATCGAACATTCATATGTATTTTCGTGGAAATGGGGAAAAACTACAAATGGGTAACTTATTGAATTAAATCCTTGCACCATTATATCATTTTTGCCTCCTGTTGTGTTGGTAAGCTTAATTTCAGCTGCTGGATTTCCAGAATCAGCAACGCTGCAGGATAAAGTTAAAGTTTCAGATTCTTTAACTGTATGAACAGGCGTATTGGGTGACATTGTTAACCCTTCTGGACCATCTAAAATAGTAGTTATAAATAGGAGAGTATTCAATACTTATGTTGGCACTACGCCAGCAAATTGACTCGTCGATTGCTATACAATCAGAAGAATCATCAAACCTATACTGCCAGTATTAACATTAGTAATACTTACATAAAACTTCTAAATAAGCTTCAGAAAATGCACCATTGCCAACAACATTTTTAGGTTGACAACGATATAAGCCCGTATCGCTTTTGACTACATCCTGGATAATGAAAGTCGAATTAGAATAATAGTAAGTAAAGCGTGAGCTGTTTACGGCCAATAATGCGTTATTTTGTGTCCAGTCATAGGTAATATTCCCAGGTATTGCCCAAGAGCCGCAGCGCATTGAAGCATCACCACCGGCAACTGCTGTAGTATTAAACAATTGTTGTACTAAAATGGGTAGACCTGTAAAAGGGAATAGATATCAAAGCTATAGTTATCTCATGAAACTTATCAGATATGGTCATAATAATGATAAGGACTACATTCAATTTTAATTGTTTTGTTATTGCACTTGTTTATGACTCCTAAATAGAAATAGATTTAGAATTTCTTATCCAAAATTACCTCGAACAGTCACTAGAAAGTCGTAATTGTTGACAGCATTGTTTACCAGTATTACTCGTATGTTATACGTGCCAGTGTCATTCATGGTGGTATTATGTAACATAAAGTAAATTGATTTACCAAAGTATGGGCTCGCGTTGGCACCTTGACTAGCATTGACTCGAGGATTTACAGTTGGAACAGAATTTACAAGTGGAGTAGGATAAAGAACTAGCCCATTCTTGATTATGGTAAATTGGAAGACATCTTCAGAATAGGTAGCTGTAAAACTAGCCGTTTCAGGTTCGTCGATAGTTACTTTTAGTGGCGATGTTTGAGCTAGTTAATAAAAAAATAACGCTCTAAATTAGTTTTGTTTAATAGACTCATATTTC